GAGAGAGAGAGAGAGAGAGAGAGAGAGAGAGAGAGAGAGAGAGAGAGAGAGAAGGTACGAGGATGACGACATCGCATAGACAGGAACTTATCACGATAGATAACGTTTTCCAAATGTGGGAGCGTACCGATTATTCGCAGAATACTCGTGGACGTGAAATCTTATCGATAGATTCGGAGTACAGAAACGATAAAACCGTTGTTTTAAATGCCGTCGTTTGCACGTTCGCCGCGGGATTCGATATCTATCACGACGCGCACTTGGAACTGCCGGTCGGTCGCGACCGGTTCGATGGAAATGAACGCGAATTTCGGCCCCGAACCGTCCGAGAATCTTATAAACAATAGTGAAAAAAAGGAGGATGAGTTTCTGATCAGTTATCGGGACCGATTCTACGACATACGCAGCTTCCTAAAGTCTCATCCGGGCGGAAGTAAGGCGCTCGGTTACTTTAAAGGGCGTAGCTTGGACAAAGCCTTCGACCAAAATCCACACTCGAAAAGTGCGTTTCATCTGTTGGAGGACTTCATTTTGAACGACCGTGAAAAATATCAAGAATACGAAGTGAGTTTCGTCGGGGATACGTAAACTTTGCGTTTGAAACTTCGTGTGTTTCGCGAACTGCCTTCAATTCCAGGCAACGAGTCTCTTTATTTATTTTATCAAAGTTGTTTTGAATGTGTTTATAGTATCTGTGGGGAAGAAAAGTAATGGTATCCGTAAACGATATTGGTAAGTTTTCGCATCTGATGAATGAAATAGGGAGAACTAGCGCTATTCATGTTGGAATATTATTTTAAATTGATTTCTGTTGGCTGCAAATACTGATTCGTTACGAAATACTTAACAATTGAATTTTTCATGAAGATTCGAAACTTTTCTTGAGAGACTCTAGAAGTCATTCTATAGCAAAGATAGGCTTTGAATTCCTTTTTAGAAATTTCAAATAACAGTGACATTGGGTTATAGAATACAGGCCTCCTAGTTATCTCTCGAAGTAGACGATACGAAAAAATGTTCTCACGTAAGTCGAGTGTTGAACATAATTTCTTCCATGGACTTTTAATTTCTCTTAATATGCACTTGTAACAATATACCCATAAAATAATCGAGGTAAAAACCTAGACCTCTACATGGTAATAAACATATATTTATTTTCATTCATCACTATCTTTCCATTGACTTTGGAACGTAAAGTCTCGAAGAATATACTAACTACTATATGTTTATTTTTAAATTCTATTCTTGAGGATAATTTTACGATCACATGATTATTATACAATATCTAAATGCAAATAGTATGTTAAGTACAACACAATGCCGGAAAAAAGGAATTGGTGACCTAGAAAAACCAAAGAAAATGGTACGGTATGAAAATAGTTTTACTTGACATATTTACTGTTTAAAGTAATGCTAGACGAAATAATTGGGTGGTCAGTATCGAGTCAGTAACCGTGAATTTTTGTGCGCCAGTTTGAAGTTCAAGAAGTTATAATGTGAATATCCTGAAGTATTTAGAAATGTGACGATTTCATCCATGTAATGCCATAAAACCACTCTTTTTATCGCGAAGAGCGAACAATTCAAGGAAAAGATTATATTTGATTTACTGATATAACAGAACGGCTATCTGTAATCACTTTTAACACTCTAGCTTTCCAAGTCTGTTTACCTCGCACAAGAAATCTCTAAGACCACCTCTGTACTTTGACCAATGATCATAAAATAGCTAATATTAATTCGTGAGGTGACATCTTTCGACGTGGATGAATCTTAATGTCCTCCTTCAGGACTTCATTCTGTTAGCTCTGAATCTATACAGGGTGTCCCAGCCTACGTGATACGGAACTCTAACTCCAAAACTATCAGCCGAATGTAAAATTTCAAATATGAAAATTGCATGGTAAAATGGGGCTCATGTTTCAGCGAGAGGGAATTTTTGTTAACTTTGTTATTTAACGAGATATGATGGTCAAGTGTCGTTTTTCAAATGGAACTATATATATTTTTTTATACCATGCGATAACACTTTTCAAGACGAATTCATTAAGCTTTAATGTATTTACCCGATTTTTATTAATTTTCAAGCTACAACGCTTCAAAATTTGCTAATTTTTAAGGAAAAAACTCGATTCGGCCTCGAGCGGTCTCCATTGATGCAGTAAGCACCATGCGGTTCTTGAAATCGATACGGAGGGTCTCGTTTGGGATTCTAGGCCCAACGAAGGAAAATGGGAAGAATCCCAATATTCTGGGCCTAGAATCCCAAGCGAGATATACATATATATTTTTAATAGTAATTAGCATAAAAGTGATCTAAAAATGTGCTGGTGGACAGAGACAGGTAGGGTATCGCGGTTTTCTTTTTCTTTTTAGCTGTAGGGGCTCTAGCTCCTCTTTTTAATCTATATTATCTTTGTGCCTAATACATGGATAAAAAAAGCTATCTCTACGCTACCTGCCTCTGTCCACCAGCACATTTTTAGATCACTTTTATGCTAATTACTATTAAAAATATATATGTATATCTCGCTTGGGATTCTAGGCCCAGAATATTGGGATTCTTCCCATTTTCCTTCGTTGGGCCTAGAATCCCAAACGAGACCCTCCGTATCGATTTCAAGAACCGCATGGTGCTTACTGCATCAATGGAGACCGCTCGAGGCCGAATCGAGTTTTTTCCTTAAAAATTAGCAAATTTTGAAGCGTTGTAGCTTGAAAATTAATAAAAATCGAGTAAATACATTAAAGCTTAATGAATTCATCTTGAAAAGTACTATAGTATATGGTATATAAAAAATATATCGAGTTCCACTTGAAAAACGAAACTTGACCATTATATTTCGTTAAATAACAAAGTTAACAAAAATTCCTTCTCGCTGAAACATGAGCCCCATTTTACCATGCGATTTCCATATTTGAAATTTTGCATTCGGCCGATAGTTTTGGAGTTAGAGCTCTGTATCACTTAGGCTGGAACATCCTGTATATGTATTCTTTGCGCCATTCCCAGAACACAATAGCCGAATTTCAACCATCCTGATTGGCGCGAATATAATTCAAGGTCTTTGGTTTTACAAGCCTCAAAACAAGCGTTACATAACGTTTGGGCTATATGAATAATCTTCAAATCTAAAATTAAACAAAAAATTTTAATCTACAAAAATATGATTACACGGGGGTCCAAACTCGTAAATTTCCTATTTCTGTTTAATTGTAGGTCTGCAGATGACTCGATCCAAGAGTTCAAATGTTATAATGAGTATTCTTCCTCTGTTTAAATTAAAGATCGTTCGTAGGCGTGAACTTGAACACTGTCTTACTGATCTTGTCTTATTGATCGTTGACACTTGTAACTGATCTGACCGTTTAATTAAATAGGACCTCATTGACTGGAATGCACCTATACTTCGCCAAGTCGGGAACTTAGGCGATAAATATTGGGAATGGATGAATCTACCGGTAAATCGAAAGATTCGATTATTTGAATCAAATCTCTTGGAGATTATATCGATCACACCTTGGTACTTTATACCGATCGTCTGGGTCCCTGTGTGCATCTACTTCCTTTATTCAGGATTTGCAACAATCACCAACAATTATACTGGTAATTATTTTTCTCCACTCTCTCTTTTACATTTCAACTAAAGTAACATGGATTCATCCAGACTGGGATCAATCAACTCTGATCTCAATTTAATTGCGTGCAAAAACTTATTGATGAAATCTCAACGATCGTTACCCAATTACTAGTACCGTAAGCTGATCATTAACTAGCGTGAGTATCGAAAATTTCGTTCGAACTTCCAGGAAGCGCCGTATTCGAAGCTTTGGTCTCGTACGCATTTGGTATATTTTTGTGGAGTATTTTAGAGTACATACTTCACCGTAAACTTTTTCACTTTAAGCCACCTGCTACCTCGAAAGTGCTTATCTCTTTGCATTTCGTGATTCACGGGGTTCACCACAAGGTAAGTGCCCGCAAGTACAAATGAAAGATGATACGATACACAAAGAATATCCTGAATTAATTTAATTTTATTGTCTTTTCTTTCTCAAGGCACCGTTCGACGATAGGAGATTGGTGTTTCCTCCTGGAGCGGGTTTATTAGTAGCGAAATTGTTGTGGTTAATTTACGAAGCATTATTCTCTGAGAAGACGATTTATTTTATTGCCGCTGGTACTACAACAGGTACTACTATCGACGTACTTATACCTAATATATTCACTACGAACGTAAATATATTGAATATAAAAAAATTTCGTAGGCTACATCTGTTACGATTTAATTCATTATTATTTACACCATGGATCACCGAATGATGGGACTTATTTATACACCATGAAAAGAAACCACAATTATCACCATTTCTCGCATCACGATCTAGGTAAGTAGTCTCTATAGTTTCAAAACCCTAAGCAGATTTTTGACGAATAAAAATTTACCATTTCAGGCTTCGGAATTAGCAGTAAATTTTGGGATTACGCGTTAGGAACGAATATTTATTTACGCCAATTAACGAAATCGATAGAATGGTGAAATTACTTGTACGCTTTGTATAGTAATTCTTGTTATCATCACGCGATCAAAATGAATTAAATCGATAGCGATAGATGATCGATCTCTCTTTGTTAAGAATAGTTTAAGTACTCATAAGGAACAAAATGCATAAGGTACGAAAGGACGGAATTATAGTGAAAAAAAAAACTACGAACAACTTGCCAATTTGTGCCAATCTACAGTTGCATGTGTCATTATGTATAATTCTAAGCACTTAAGCGAGTTGATACTTTAAGTACGTGTCGCAATATCACTGTACGTTAATTAATTACAAAAGTAATTTCGGTTTGAGCGTACCGAACAAAGTAGATTAAACCGTGTCAATGGCTACAGGAAAAGCACTGCAACGATTGACATTAGCTTGCCGAATTCACATAAATGAAATTAAGTTGCTTCAACTTTGACATTTTTCCTACCCATACTCAGCTGTGGGAAAGTGCTTTTATTAGTGGGAGGATTTAATCTGGAGGACAGATGAACAAATGCTTCGAACAAAGTAATCCTTTCCATGACATTTACTTCGTAATGTTTGAGCTTTTCTCTAGTACACCAGTTCGTAGCCTTACTGGCAGTATTCTCCAAAGTGTGAGAATCTTCTTCCGCTTTAGTTCGATTCCCAACAACGATTACAGTTATTTCTTTCTTGTCTTTGTTTCTGTCAATGTCCTTTTTCAGTGGAAAAAGTACATCCAAAGACTCGGGCTTGGCAGTATCGTACACCAAAACATAGCCATCAGCAAAACCAAGGTAATGGCGTGGAAGTTGCTGATTATTTGCATTATTTTGAAGCGATTCCAGTCCTGCTGTATCGTAAAATCGCACTTTTTCCTTGGTACCGCGATCAGTTTCTATGTTCGCGACGTAAATATCCTCGATCGTGGGATGAATTTCCTGTTTTATTATTATTAAGATTAGGTTTTAATTGTAATACAGAGTGTAATGTAAAATTAATTATTTTTAAGATCATTGTGTTTGTTAAACATTTTCAAAGAACATAACCTAACTTCTTACTGTCTTAGAATTGACATTTCCATATACAAGCTGTTCCAGTAAAGCTGTTTTTCCTACGCCTTTCATTCCACAAACAACGACTTTCGTTGTTTTTCCCATGTTTAACTTTTCATTCGAACGACAGTATTATTTACACTAGCTTAAATGTCAAAACTCCATTACAGACGAAAATAAATGACAATTCCATGCTTCCATGAGCGACCGATGTCAGCTGAATCTAGTGATTTAAAAGTCTACTTTTCTAGGGGAAAAATAACTCAGTATTCGTTTTTACATTATACCCGAATATTTACTTATGTTTCTTAATTAAGATAGATTTTACATGTTAAATAAATACCGATATTTACATATTTTGGTTTATTTCATTTAAAAATGCTTTCGATCGTTCAAAAATATTAAATTAACTCTAGCAATTCTCTATCATTCTTCATGCTCTAAAATATTTATATATATATATATATATATATATATATATATATATATATATATTTCTTGTATTATTTCTTGTCATTGCTTTATGAATTACTAGATTACTAGATTATCAAGTATATTCGTAACTGCATAAAATATCCAAATGACAAATTAAAATACTACACTGGAATGATTAAAACAGTGCTATTATAAGAAACAATAATGTATGTTCCTTTCTTCATATAAAATACGAATTCACATGTACAGGATGCTTATGTTTATCTACATGAAGGCATCTTTTTAATTTTCATTTTAAGTTACTTCCCAAACAGATGTCAAAATGTAGTTAACATCTGCATTATTTTCTTCCTTCATTAAGAATGATTTGTACTTCTTGTGTGAAACTTGTTCAATTTTTCAACACCCATCCATACTTTAAATTTTGTACACTCCCTCGTATAGCGCCTCAAATTTCAATATTGATCAATTTCAAGTGCAATAAATCGCCAAATGTAAAGATTTTATGCTCCTCAATCCAGTTAGAAATCAATTAGGTGTAGACATCTTTCCAAGATGTCTATTTTGTTGCTGGAATTGGACCAACTAGAGTACATCTTTATTTCAGATTTTATCAATACCACGTTACTTCCTTCACGTGGAACTTAATGTAGCCTATAGCTTAGTTCCTTCTTTTGACTGTTGTAGAGGCTTTATATCATCAGCCAAAAGTGCGTTCAAATCTAGATCTTGAAAATTCACTGAATGTTGACTTGAACCTAGAACAATAACCATGATTCATATACCAAAGAACATAAACAAATTTAACACTTAATGTGTTGTACGTACCTGCATGTGCAAGGAAAAGATCTTTTAAAAATCCTAGTTCCTTAGTGAGCATTTTAATTTTTTCCTCAAGTAGTTCATTCTCTGTCTTCAATTGGTTTACACGTTCCAATGTTTGCTGAGTACGTAACTTACTCTTAACTCTAGAACGTTTTACAGCCTGTCAAAGGTAAACAGAATTACATAGATCACATACAATGTTACAGAATTGTTTATATCTATACAAATATTCACCAATATTCATTCAAATACTCACTTGATTATTTCTATCCCTGCGTTTTCTGTAATCTTCATCATCTTCCTCCTCTGAAACTTGTCTTTTCTTTTTATTTCCAGGTACACTGTTCACTTTATTTTTTGGTGCCATCTAAATTCAATATTTAAATGTATATTGAATTAAAAGTTTATTAAATTTAAAAAAATGAAAGACTCTTCTAAGACAATAATTACGTTATCATGTCCCTAGTTCTAATGTTAGGATTGAATAAGAGTATCATATCTCGATAAATTAAATTTGTAGGAAATATGTAACTAAATCTACAAACAAAATATTTATAAGTCAAATCTTTCCGATAATATCGTTTCCAATGAATTTTTATTGTTTTTGTTTATATAGATGTTTGCAGAAAATACGTCACAATTACGCATACAGCATGCATCTCCGATAATGCGTCGCATAAGTCAGGGTCAATGTTTTTGGAATTTATAAGAGTTTCGAGCGTTTAGGACACTACGAAACACTATCGAATGACGAAAGATATCTTTCTTATACTTACAGTACACGTCAATTTAACTCACTTTTGAGTTTCCATGCAGCTCTTTACATTCCTGTATACAACTTTCGAGAAAACTTTTATAAACAGCCACTTTTACAACCAATACGCTGTTATGTGTATCACATCCAACATAATTCAAATACGACTTGAAGATGATGAAATTCTATTTAAAGCTAGCTTGCAGGTGATCTGTGATCATCTGTGATGTGGCGACACCTCTTTTAAGTTCAACCACAGAGTACATTTACAGAGAGGAAACTCTTGTTGAAACTTTAGATAAGTTCCAGTATTAGTATAGTCTAGTGCTTTGATTTGTCTTTATTTACAGCGCATTATTGTTTGTAGTACAATTTATAGAGTAATGTATTCATCAGTTTTATATCAGTCATAATATTTAGCATTCGTATGGTTTAGTGAATTTTAATCCAAGTGTCGCCACGGGTGGCAAAACTCCTAAGTTTGTAGTGAAAATAGTTCCAACTATTGCTGCTAGATGCAGCCACGAATACCTATTAATTAGTAATGCTTAATTTTTCATAAATGATTAATTGGTATGATTCTATATTCTATAACACTAAGATATGCTAGTTAAAAACTCAAATTTATCATTATTATGAATAATTATTTAACGCAGCAATAATTATCGACCTTTTAGTTAATAGCGTCATCCTAAAGGAAGGGTGAGAACTATTTTTTAGTACAAACTTGGGCCTTTTCCCACCGATGCCGCCACCAACCAAGTCGATACTTATGGTAACACTAAACAATTATTTATAAAAATGATACGTTTGACATACTAACTAATATATTGTAGGAACTATTTTCACAACATTTTTGGGTACAACCATTTAGTTTTAATTTTTATCGACTTATTATTTATACAAATAGTTTATTATGGCGTTACCGATACTATATTTTTTGCAAAATATTCAAATTACATTAACATACTTTCATTAAATAAAGTCATTTATTTTGCTTAAATAGTTAGTCTATGATAGTTTCGAAGATAGTCTATTGCAGCTGAAACTGTGGGGGGGGGGGGGGGTGTGGCGTTTCAACCCCTAAATATGAAAACGGGCCAATATAACAAAATATGTATATATTATTTTTCGATCCTTTAAAACATATCCAAAAATCAAAACAATCGGAGGCGGACATCTAAAAAGCTTTCCTTGTCAGTAATATTACTAGACAAAAAATATTAAATTGATATATTACTATACATATATACTTTTTTGTAGGATAGAATGTGAACAAAAAATTGTACCAGACTATTTAAGATTATTTCAAACAACATAGCAATAATACATTGAAGTGAGACAAAATAATATGTACATATTTCAAAGTAATTAAATATTTTTTAAATTTTATTCATACATGCCACAAGTCATTTTTCAGACAGAAACGAAGGGTCTCTATTATAACTATAAACTATAACTACAAAATAAAGCGTCATATAAATTACCAAAATCTATATTTATGAATAATTTACATAAAATATGTCACTTTATTTTCATTATATATTGTTTTTTAGTTTTACTCTAGTAGATTTCCTTAATACAGTTGTTTCTTCAATCGTGGACGTATTTAATACTCGGTTTCTCAGTTGTGGCTTATTTTGTAAATGCAAATTTTCATTATCATTTAAAATCCTCACAGATTCTTCATTACTTGATTCATCAGTCTCGCTATGATAATGACGAGACGCCTTTTTAACTTTTTTCTTTACATTTGAAACGATTTTATTATCATTTTGTACTAAGTCACGATTTCTTTTTCGGAGTGAACGATTGTCGCTATTTTTGGAATTTATATTTTCTTTCTCCAAATTTGCCATATTTATTAATTTGTTTTCTGAAAAAATAATTCCAAATATTTTAACAGCTTAACAACTTTCTAGTATTCACAATTTCATATCTTTAGTAAAACCATATTACATACCATAATTATATTTAGTGTCATTACTATCATTACTTGATAAGTCACACACAACATCTTGTAAAACAGATGTTGATCTACCATCTGCTCCTTCTTGGTCAGAGACATAATTAGAATCACAGTTTCCTCTGGCACTAGTAAAAGAATTCATTCTTTTTGTTTCATCGTTTCGAAATAACTTTTTTTTTCTTTGTAATAACACTTCGTACTTTGAAGTCTTAGAATCAGCCTCTGATGTATCTTTACTAAGTGTGGTATCTGTTATTGAATTCATCTCTTTATTTGACACGGAGGTATCATTAAACATATCTAAATTCGCATCATCTTTCTTTCTTTGTATACCTGAATAATGAGATGACTTAACTTCTGTATGATCATCTTTTTCATAATTTGTTTCACATTTATTCTTTGGAATATTGTTTCTGGGAGGAGACAATTCAACATTAAGCAATTTTGTTGGATAAGTACTAGAATACATTTGTAATGGACAGTCAACGTCTGAATCGGAGTCTTCAATATATGCACCCGAATTTAGAGGCAAAAAATGATCTTTATCAGTTTCAACCACTGAATCATCTGAATTTTCATCCTTTTCTTGTTTATCCAAAGTGCTTTCATTATTTTGTATACTTTCATTCAATAGATTGCGTCTTGCAGATGAATGTCTAGGAGGATTAGTATGTTTGATCTTTCTAATTAAACTTTCAAAACTATCTTTGTACGTTTCCACTAATGGAAAAATTTAAAAAAATCATTGAAATAGAAATCATTAAGAAATTGTCAATTAGCTAAAAAAATAAAACTCACAATATTTTTTTCTCTCCACATCTATAACATTTTGTTCTGTATTTCGATTAACATGTAACTTCTAAAACAATCAACGATTTTATAAAATATATAAATAAATAATAGGAAAATGAAATGGAAGAATAACAGAATATACATTTACATTTATAAATGATGAAGTTTTATAAATGTTTTTCTCAAGACTCTCTTCATCTTCGCATTGCTTAATTAACTCTGAAACAGGTCTTGGATATGATTTGTCACATTCTGCATTATAAAGAATAATATATCTTTGCAAACGAGCTTCCATAGCCTTCCGATCTCCTTGGGTTGACAAACCAAACTCTTTCAATTTCTTACGTATCACACCTTCTTTCATTAAAGTGAATACTAATTTTGGCAGTGGTTTACGGTTTAACTGTACTCTGTAATGACAAACATAAGTTAGACTCTTTGAATTAAATATTTTATAACTTGTATAGATGTAAACTAAATTCTATTATTCTTACGTTTGTGGTTGAACTTTTCTTGATTCTCGTTTTAAGCAATCATCAAGATGCCTATTTATATGCAACTCTGAAATAGTAACTTTACATACAGGGCATATAACATCTGCAGTTTTCTCCACAACTGTTACATTTGCAGATTTTGTACTTTTAGGTGTAAACATCAAAGGTATTCTGGAATTTCCACTGGTACTGGGACTAGATAAATCTTTTTGCACATTTATAGAAGGTGATGTATTACTTTCAGAAATTAGTCTTTTGTTAACAATTTTATCTTCTAATTTAATTAAATGCTTGTCTTTATTCTTAGGTGTTGACTTTGGACTACTCAAAATAATATCACTTCTATTAAATGGCAGAAATTGCATTTGACTTCGTAAACATTTCTTTAATTTATCTTTAATTTGTGAAAACTGTGTTATAATTTCATCCAGAACTTTATTTTTCCTCAAGTCCTTCTCAAAGGTTTCAGCAAAACAAGCAGGACATTGTGTTTTATAATGTAAATATTTTCTGATACATAAAGAACAATCTAAAATTTTAAGTAGGCACAATTAATTTATGAGTCTTTACCATTATACTATTAACAGCAAAAATATTTCTTACAATTATGTGAACATGATGTAATCACTGAAGTTTCCATGTATTCGTAGCATATTCCACAAACTAATAAATCTTCAATGTACTAATGAAAAATTATCATTAGTTAACTTTAGTTAGTTAATTATTTATATTGTTAATAAATGAAAGATAAATATTAATATGTCAAAGTATTACCTTCAGTTCTATATATTCTTGAGGCCACATTATACAATATTAATGTTGTACATACGTTTACACAAATAATTTCGAGGTTAGATTAAATCAACATTGTTTACGTTTTAGTAAAGAAAAATCGTATACCATGTAAACCAAAATAAAACTGATAAGAAAATATATATCATAAATCGTTTGTGATAAATATAAATATAGATTGTATATGTAAACAAACAAATTCAAATAACGGATACATTCAGAAAGGCCACCGCTCGCTAAGCCCAAGGCACTAGGGCTGGTTGAACCGGAAGTAGTCGAAAGCTTTACATAATTTGTAGATTTTCATAAAAGAAAAGAAGGTGTAGAAAAGCCGCAGTGTCAAAATAATTTATATTATATAATGGATTTAATTGGGTTAGTACGTGCTCTAAAATCTAAAAACGTGGACCAACTGTGGTATTTGCATGGTATTTTATATACGTAATACAACTGAAATCTAATGTGAGGTTATATTTGTAGGTTTACGATAAAAACCACTGTTGTGGGTGGTATCGTATATTACACCTATTACGAAGGTCTGTGGTCGAAATCAGAAGAAACTGCTAAATTATATCACAAAATACACGAACATGTCGCTCCTTATATTATATATAATACGACAAATTCTCTGATACGGCACGAGGTAATTATTTAATAAAATACCGAATAGTATACGATTGTAGTCATTTATATATTATTTCATATAACTTTTATAATTTTTGCAAATGATGGACTAAGTTACTATATATTAATTACTATTACAAATATTTTATATCATTGCTTGAAATTTGAATTATTCAAAGGGACTAATTTCAACAAAATTATGTTTAGTTTAATAAACTACCAAGTGTCACAACTATTACAACTTGTGCAAAAAAATCTTGGAACAAAGGTGTTATGAATACTATGGAATTCATGTCTGATTTACCTACTCATGTGGTTAATGGTGCAACCAGTGTCTCTGAAACTGTACAGAAGTATATGAAGGAACAGAAGCAATAAGTAGAAAGCTAAAGTGTTTATAATACTATTAGTATTGTTCTATACATTTTGGATGTAAATTATATAGTTGAATGTATAACAAAATTATATAACTATGAATAAGTAAATTATTATTTATTTTATGCCTATATTTATTTTGTATATAGTAATTTTTACAACATTATGATTTATTTAGCCATATATATGTAATGGCCATACTGTAAAATGTTTTCTATAAAAGCATATTCATAAGTGAATAATAAAAATATTGAAAAGAATAAGATAAGAACCTTTTAAGTTACCTTTTAAATTATTTTAAATTAAAATAAATACAAGTTGTAAACGTAATTGTACTATACATATTTGTTTTATTTATCAAATATTACATAATACTAAATCGTAATTATTTCAATGACTTTAAGTGTCGATCTAACAACTGTACTCGCTTAACAAGTTTGTCTTCTGCACCAAAGTGTTCATAAGAAATACTTATAAGGTGATACCCACTGTGTTCTAATAATTTGTTGTATAATTTAATTATTCCTTGTAAATCACGATTTCCTTGGCAATACGCATAATAATCATGAATAATTATAGCAACTCTGAAATTTATAATTCGACATAACATAAAGATATTAGACTATAATTTTCGCTGCTATTGTATACTTACTTGTTTGAATTCGTATTTACTACAGAAGGTTTCTGATTAGTATTCCTATAGTATACAGCATCTAAAATTTTATTTAGTTGAATACATTGTTTATTAAAAATATAAACTATAAAATTTTCATATGCATACCTAAAATGAAACCCATTTTTGTATTTACATTCATTTCATAATCAGGAGGTTTCAATATGAATTTTAATGTTTCTTCAAGAGCATTAACATGTAGTTGTTTTTGTTTGGTATATGATTGTGTTACATATGGTACATCTAGATCAGTAAGTAACGGCCCTGAAAATAATATTTCACTCAAATACGTATATGCAAACAGTTTTTAACTTTTCAAATATTAAGTGTTATCTCAAAATCATGCTTTACCTTGATAATTCTTCATTATGTATTTTGCAGCAGCATTGATATTTAATAATTTTATTTGCTTCGACAGATTTCTTGTTGAGTCTGTAATATAAATTGAACATCAATCAGTCGTCAATGTATAATTAAAAATTTGTTGTAACAATAAATACTAACCAGTGGGCATGAGACTCTTAATAAAATCACCATTTAATACAGGCTCAATTTGTGAATTCGTAGCTTTGTTCAATAGAACCAAGGACCAAACAACATCTAACTGTTTTGTAGGTTTTAATGATTCGATTGATAAAAGTGGTACATATCTCTATTACAAAAACAATATTTCAGTGTGTTCAATTTTAGTCAGTTATATAATATAGTCACTCTGTAATGATGATACAATTGATGGCGATTTTTTATGAAAAAACCTTTAAAAAAATACATATTTTTTCATAAAGAATTGCACTCTTCTCTGTTATATCATGATTACTGGGCAATTCTATATAATTTTAGTAAATAACATTTTTAAAATTTTTCATTCTACACACCTCTATGATGGTATTTGTTTGTTCGGTATCATAACCTAATATTGCAAATGCCTGCAACATAGTTAAAACATAGTTGTTTTCCAATGTGGCATTGGAATCAATTATTATCTTGGACATATGATTTAAAAAGTCCATATTTTTATACCTAATCATTGCCATAGATTTCACTATTGAATGCATTGAATCAATGGATTTTTCATTCATAGACTTTATTAAATCAGAACTAATTTTGCTAAGTAACACCTGTAATATACAATAATTATAATAACTTGGTTAGCTTACTTCCAGATAATTTTTAAAATAAATACAAAATTATTTTCAACTTACGTCATCATAATAACACAAAGTTGCAATATTATATAGTAAGCTTGAACATTGTCCATGACTCAACATTACATTGTATTCAACAATGTTGTCAAATAAAAATTTTAGTAACTTTGGATTTCTCTCTTTCATATTTGCCAAGTTTGATATTTCCTATATCAAATAAAGCAGAAATTTATTTCTAAAGTAAACAGAGAGTTATCAAGTTTTCCTACCTTGATCATCGCAGATGTGGAAAGATCACTGTATTTGGAGAAATCATTTGATATCTTAACTCTGATGGTTTTTGTTGTAGGCTGTACTATTTCATTTTGTGTTTTATGATCTTTTGTAGTATTCTCATTTTTAGTATCTGTCATATTTAGCTTCTCTGCATTCACCCAATTTATAATGGTATTCATAACCATTACAACGTCTTTCTGAGGTAAATGAGGCATATTTATGAGAGCCAATAAATCATGTACATTCTGTGCACCTTGAACCCTTGATGTAATCCAATTGTCTTTCTTTAAAGAATTACACACTGTCTCCTTAAGTTTGTTAAACTTAGTCTGTTGGTCTTTGGTCATCATCATGGTTGATGGTGGCTCATACTTATGCTTTAATAAATCAACTTTAATTTATTAATAAAATACAACATTATTTTCAAGACATTTATAACACATTTACTTTATAAACTAGACAAGTAATCACTTGGACAGTTTCAGTAGCATTAAATTTTACCTTAACATTTATGTTAGAAGATTCTTTTACTGGCGAGTTTGTTGTAAAAAATGAGGTAAGAGGCCATAATCGGGGAGTAAATCTGGCAGTTACGGTACAAATAGTTGTATTAAACTGGAGCATTGTTGTTAAACTGTAAAATTACATTTATACAATTGTAAACGGTTAGAATTGTAATAACCACGACATGAATTAACAGAGATAAAGTTTATTGGAATTTTTGTATCATAAAATACGCGGATAATTAAATTGACTTACTTTATATGAATATATATAAATGAAAACAAGGTTATTTTATCTATCGTCTGTTAAAAATCAAACCCAGCTCCATTATAAGCAATCATAGGTTAATTCTGTGTGCACTGTGAATTGCTGTGAAAACCGTGACTGTACTCATCCATAAAATAATTCTTTCAAGATTGGATTCTTGCTCACATATTTATAAACAGATGTTATAATCTAATACACAGCGTAATTTCTATTTATTATTACCTCTTCCGTTTCTCCAAATTGTTACTAATAAATAATAATTGATTTCACAGGAGTGTAATCTTTATTGTCTTTTTCTATAAGAAATGTTGAAACGTCATTCTTTTAATTTAATTTTCTTTAAAGGATAATATTACGAAAACTCTTCAGAATATTGTTTTCGTATTATTATGTAATACATGTGCGTATATCTTTCTTACGATAAGTACTTGACAAACTAGAAATAATACAAAATTGGTTTCTTGAAATTATTTATTTAAATTAATTTGTTTAACCCTGATAATAATTGCGTATACTGTTATATTTAATTTACGTTTAAAAATAATTTTCATCTAAATAAATACTGCTTCCTTTTCCTCTAAAGCAATGTGACACTTGGTTACTTTTTGTTCTTTAAAATCTGAGTACTCTTTGAGTCATTTAAAAATACACCTGATAGTCCATAAAACTATATATATTTACATTTGTGTTACTTATCTCTGAACTATAAATGCATAATCAAGTACTAACGTTATGAATGACAAAATACTTTCTACGTAATAAAAGAAATTCGAAAAAAAAAAGTTTCTATTACCTCAACTATAAACATATGACAACTATAAACATTTATGAACTAGACATGATATATATTTTAATTAAATTTGATTAATCTATAATTTTAGCATTTACTGTTTTATTAGCTGCACAGAGCCATAATTCAATAATTGAATTTTCTTAAATCTAAGTTACATGTAAATTAAAAAGTACAGACTATATTTCAGTCTTTATTGTTACCGTATCGAGATAAGTGCAAATTATACAGGGTGTCCCAAAAATGTTGTAACATATTGAAAGGGGTGGTTCGGAAGGTGATTTGAAACAACTTTTTCCTTAGCGAAAATGTTGTCCGAGGCTTCGTTGAGAAGATATTAACAGAAAACCCCGACCAATCAGAGCGCGCGTATACCGTTGGAGCGGCCGTGGTAGCGAAGACTCGAGCTAAGCGGCCGCGTTCAATGTCCTTCGACGCACGTCGAGTCGCTTGTTCGCGTACAAGCGCGGCCTCTTAGCACGTAGCCTTCGCTACCACGGCCGCTCCAACGGTATACGCGCGCTCTGATTGGTCAGTGTTTTCCGTTAATATCTCCTCAACGAAGCCTCGGACAATATTTTCGCTACGGAAAAAGTTGTTTCAAATCACCTCCTGAACCACCCCTTTCAATGTGTTACAACATTTTTGGGACACCCTGTATTTCTCTATCATTCTTTATGATGTAATTTAGTTCTAGGTGGAAGCTTCTACAGTTAAAAGTAATTTGTTAGTTATTTGGTAAAGTTTCATACAAATGCAACTTTATTTGACACGACTACAGTAAGTTACATTAGCGCATATACACCTCAAGCAGAACGACGACAGCCATAATCTGAAAATAAGAGAATATCATAGTTTTTAACAAGAGTTTCGTCTCTATTAAACTATTCTGTGGTGAACGATCCAATAGAATTCCTTTAACTGCATGACGTTTCGGTGAGTAACGAGTCGAACTGTTGGGGGCGTTTGCTAACCGTTGCTGCATACACTTTGCTCTGCTTTGCACTTGACGGCTCTCGTGTGTGTTCAGCGTTGCGAGAAGAAAACATTGTTTTCGATCCGAGCGCGGATACAGATCCCGATCATTGTGCGAAAATGACATCCCGCATGGAAAAAGAACGTGCCAAACAAATACAAGAAAAGTGTCAAAACCTTTTGACGCAGATGCTGCGCGACGAAGACAACAAGTATTGTGTCGACTGCGATGCAAAAGGTTCGTGCGTCAACCGTGAATTCTCTAGCAATGTCTTCTTTTCCCTATCCGACCGATTGCTATGCGTTATTACGTCCATTTCCTGCGAGCCTTGCAAAATTGAATTTCTTATTTATCAACGATGCATGCAGGTCGTGGATATCGATTTCAAAACGACCTAGTTTCGCCCAGCGAAACATTATAGATTTTTAATTCATCCCGTGACAAAACTTGAATGACAGCGATTACGAGTAAACGTCACGAATGTTTTTTGGTCGTCGTGCTCGTGGTTGCTCGAATATCCATGATTTAATCGATGATCCTCCTATTGGTCTTTAATACAACATTTTACATCTTCTAATTTCTTTGTTTAACGCACGTTGCTTATTGACACATGTATCATATAACCTGAATCGTTTAATTCGTGTTAAGTTTCTTCTTACTGTCAAATTTCTGTTCCATCTCTTCAGGTATATGCATTGAATGCACATTAAAGTTTCTATTATTATATGTTCTTATGTACATCATTTAGTATTCCTTACAGACTGAACACAAATATGTTCCTTTCTTGCATTGACCAGTCATACTTTTATTTCATAGGACCAAGGTGGGCTAGTTGGAATTTAGGTATATTTCTATGCATTCGTTGTGCTGGAATACATAGAAACCTCGGAGTCCATATTAGCAAAGTTAAGTCTGTTAACTTGGACACATGGACACCGGAACAAGTAGTGGTATGTTTACAATGACTAAGCCTTATGTCTTTATGCTCTACAGTATTTAATTGTTTTGCATGACAGTAAATGATGGAGTGATGCTTGCATTGTATTTGTATCATTTTCAGAGTTTACAGCAAATGGGTAATTCTAGAGCGAGAGCAGTGTATGAAGCAAATATTCCAGACAGTTTTCGAAGACCTCAAACAGATAGTAGTCTTGAGAGTTTCATTCGTGCAAAATATGAACATAAAAAGTACATAGCTAGAGAATGGGTGCCACCACCTTTACCAAAGGTATTATTTCTTTCAATTTTAAATGAATATATTATATCTATACAGTAAATGTAAAATTTAATAATTGTATGAATTAGAATAACTTAAGAGTTCTGAAATAAATTGTATAGGTAAATTGGGATAAGGAACTTGATGAAGAAGCAGAAAGACAACGTAGACGAAAAAAGGAGAATTCTAAAAGCACTAATAACCAATCTATACTTCCGCCAGTAAAGAAACCAGAAGTAGTACCTCAGTTGCCAAAACCTAAAAGTTCTGTCAGTCCTAAACCTAATAGAGCAAATAATACTGCAACTTTAGATTTGTTGGGCCTAGGTAAATTTTTATTAACATATATTTAATTTGTGACACAAAATAAGACTTGCACTTTTAAAGATGCTTGATCTTTTAATAGATGCTCCAGCTGCAAATCAGTCAAATGTAAATGGTAGTGGAGATGATGTATTTTCTTCCTTTTTATCTGCACCCCCTGCTTCAGTAGTTTCAAGTAGTAGTACTTCCAGCACAACTACAAGCACAGCAGCAAGTATCGGTAAAAGTGAAGAAGAAAGTTTCTTTGATCAACCAGCACCATCACCTCAAGAAAAAAGTAAAATGACTAAAGATAGTATTTTGGCCTTGTATGGTACATCCGGACATCAACAATCAGCAATTTATGGAATTCCAGGTACATTTATGTTATTTGAAATACGTTACTGTACTCGGAACCTCGCTAAATCTTCCGCCATAATATTGTTTTAGGTGGAATGTATGGTCAACAATCTACTGTTCAATATAAACAAGTACCAAACATGGTAACGTTTGGTCAGCAAAATAGTTTTCCAAATCAACAAAGTTCCTTGACTCAACTTAATCACCTTCCTACTCAGATATCTATTGCAACTAATCAGTTACCAATCAATCAGAATCAAATAGCAATGAATCCTAATTCGTTAGGACCAGTAGCAACAAGTTCTTTAGGAAATTGCGTACATGTAAGCCAGATAAATCAAATTAATGGCATTCCTAATTCTGCTGTTGCAGTGCAACCGCAAATGGTATATAAATTTATGTATTGCACAATGCAGATGTCAGATCTATTTATCAAATAGATAGATTAATTGTTCCATATATCCGTAGATGATGCAACTAGGACAACCTAATATTAGTAGTAATAATGGATGGAGTGGGATGTTAACACAGAATCTGCAACCGGCCCCTGGTAGCAATCCGTTCTTTAACTTAACATCTCAACAACAACAGTCTGCTGTCTTTGGTGCTCAGGTACATATATTATATACCATTTCAGAAGTTTTTCTACAGCATAACAATAATTATGATCATTTTTATATTGTAGTTACCACAACAAATCTCGCAACTATCTCTAGGCGGTACGAATTTCTCGAGCACACCAGGAAAGTCCACTACCGCTGCTTTGCCCGGGCAAACGCTTTCTACTAATTTGTGGCAGTAAAAGTCTTACGAATATTATTAGTTGATTGATTATTCCATTGAGTGTTGTACACTAGTGTCGAACGTTCGTTACGCACCACGATTAAATTTCCATTATAAATTGGAAATTGCTCTGGGACATAACACAACTAAGACACGAATAATAAGTACTCGAATGCTGCCATTTTCGAAAAGTAATTCGCGAGTGTATACAGTATTTCGAGTCGGAAAATATTTTTCTTCTAAGCTTTGCTAGCTTTCAACGTTATTGTTGGACAAGTGGTAACTATGAATAAAAACGAATTTTTGACTGATTGTAAAGAGTTATTTGTGACGTGCGGTATAGATGTACTTGAGAACGTAATTACTGGATGCTTTTGTAACCACATCTAATGTATGTCAGGGTCCATTTTCATTATGGCAACAAATATTTCATTATACTTAAACAAGTACAAGTATCTTTAGTATAATAAGCGTATTTTGCGACATGATTCATTTTTATTTAAAAATACAAACTGACAACGGCACGTTTTCACAAATGACTAAAACTGTCAGATAAATTGTACTGTATATTAAAGGGCACTTTACTTAAGAAGTGACCAACAATTTGAAAATGCAGACTCGTTTTCTAGTATGACGTTGTAATGTTTGTACGCAATCAAAATGTATTAAATATTTTAAATATTTGGTTGCTATTTTCGCATATAACTAATATTAATTATTTAATAGTTATAAAGACAGTGTCTCGTGTTTAAAAACTTTGCGACACTATTATGTTTATATTTGAATAGTGTGTTGCTTAGAGCGTTCAATTTTAACGTTAATTACATATTAAAGAATATTTTAGTATTTAATATTTTTCAACAAGTATTACTATTACTTCTTACATCACTAAAATGCATTTACAGTTTTTGTTAATATCTAATGGCTGAGACTTAATGATCTAAACGTACGACCGGTACTCTGTTTCTTATTACGTACATAAAATTTACGTAGTAAATACTTATGGTTTGCAATCTCCTCGCATTTACAGAAACAGTTTAGTAGTAATTGTCGATGCTTAATTAAAGCTATGCTTAAAATCAGGTTACGTATGTTTCTGTATTATAAATTCGTCTAATTTATTGCCATGTAACGAGATAAATACTGAAACTTGACAATAAGTTTTAGACATATCTATCGCGTTCATGCTGTATTGTTTTACATTTTTTTCTTAGTATTACCAAATAATACTAAATCATGACGCCACTAAATACAAAATGCATAACACATTGAATAAATTTGTTCACTTATTCTTATAAATAATTATTAACAATCGTATAATTTACGACGTAGCAATCAAGGACAGTTAGGCCTTATAACTTACTGTTGCATCGAGAAAATTCAACATATTGTAAAATTGATATAAGTACAAATACATATTGTTAAACTGAAAAAAAAAAAGAATATTTATGAAATTATCGAATGGAAGATTCATAACGTTATGACGACGAGAAATTTAGGTTATTTCATATTGATTCATGTTTCAGCGATGACGAAAAATTAAAATTATATTTATCGAAAATTATACAAATAACGTTTTTAGGTGAACGTGAAGTTACATGGCAAATGTAGAGAAAGACTATTATAAGTAATCATCAGATTAAAATGTATATTATAGTTCATCCTGAAGTTTAGCAGAGCAAGCAACATTCCTTCGCTTATTTTAAATCGTAAGTGACATACGAATCTTTATAAGCATAAGGAATGTATTCTATAACGAATATGCAATTTTAAAAACACGTTAATATTTTTCACAATGTCACATTTTCTTTATCCTCTCATCAACGAAACAGTAACAAAATAAATAGTATATATAAAAGGGACACTTAACATCAAAACATGAGTGATCTTAATTTTAAAACATTCGTAGCGATAAAAAATCCACAAAACAATCAATTCTTGAAAGATTAAAATGAAATAATAATTTTAAACAATAAATGCAATATATATTTTCTCATTCAATTTTTAATAAACACGTCAACTATCGACAAGACATTTGCAAATTGAAACTAATCCTATTTTCTAGCCTTCGTATACGTTTGAACTTAAAAATAAAGACCGCCATCTACTATAGATAAATACATAATTATCTTTGATAATCAGGACCGAAACTACTTAGCTGGCTTTGGCGATAATAAATTGAAATATTTATGCGTAAAATAATCAAATGCCTCTTACCTTGACAAAACTCATGTTTTGTAGTAACAATTAAAACAAAATACTTAAACAATTTCTGTTATCTATTTGAATTGCGAGCCTGGGTTCCAGACGACTACGCTGGAGAAACCCGGCGGAAGTCGCCATCTTTGTTACTGGATTACGAAGCGAGGAAGGCTCTTTCACTTCCTTGAAACGTCTTTTCGTTGTCGCATCAAAGCCACGTGAGACTATCATGGATAAACCAGTTGTTTTGGCTCGTGTTATAAAGGTTCTAGGCCGAACCGGCTCACAAGGACAATGTACGCAAGTTAAGGTCGAGTTCCTTGGAGAACAAAATCGACAAATTATCCGGAACGTAAAAGGACCGGTACGAGAAGGCGATCTCCTAACCTTGCTGGAGTCGGAACGTGAAGCGAGAAGGCTTCGATAAAAGGATTCATCTACGACAGCTTGATACCGTCAGCAGTGATTCAACTCTGGCAATACAATTCATTCCACCGATTGAAATGGATGTCACACAACTGTTCCAATAACACAAGCACATTCGATCCAGAACATCTATGTCACTGAAGATGTCTATGACTCCTGTAATAAACACTGGTTAATATTTTTCAAACTATTCGCTACTTATTTTACCCGACTTTCACAACTTAATTTCGTTTATTCGTTAATTTGATAACGTAAGTTTGAAGACTTCAATGCTTGGTGTGTTTTACTGCTTTGAACCAATACTGTATATTAGCACTTTGCATGCACTAAATTTTCTATGTAAGTGATTAATTCGTTTCGAATGGTAAATTGTATTATATAAAGAAAGAAAGATGAGGCTTGTGTTAAGAATAATGGTAAGTAATTTTTGTTTAGTCGTTGACTTCCCAAAGGCTGAAATATTTCTTCCTTACTACAATACATTCAATTTCTATTAGAAATTAATGAAATATTTATTTTTTTATAAAAAGAAAAACCAAAGAAAACATTATTTTATATCTAAATATATATAGATACAAAATATGTGCATAGAGAAACATAAGTTATACTGCAATTCTATATCCATGTAAATTGAAGGTTCATTGGACATTATAATATACATAAATTTAATGTTTCTTTGAAATTTCATTACAAAGCAGATATTTACAATGGATGAATGCAAAATTTATTATAAAATCGAATTTATATAGATATATAGTCTTTTATACAAGTCTTTAGATGGCTTACATACATTAATATACACAAGTCACATTCTACTTCTAATTGAAAATGCAAACAAAGTTTGCTTGTGAAATAGAGTGCAAGAAACAACTTAAGTTTTAAAAAAGTTGTTATATCCTTCTTCGTTTTGGTGGGGGTGTATCTCGCGGACTTGACGATGCTTTAGAGGAGCTATCCATACTCTGCCTAGTTGGCCGTTTTGGACCTCTTTTTAAACTTTCACGACCAGGATCAGAATCCTTACGTTCCTTTTTCCCATTTGATGCTGGAAGGAAGAATCTTTTAATTGTATCAATGTAATTAATGAATCTATTAGAAACAAATATATGTAAGTACCTATTTCTTCAAGATCATCTTTTCCCTTTGATCTGCCTTTAGAAGACTTGTGATCTTTTTTAACATCTTTTATGTCTCTAAGTTTATCTTTTTTCATTTCCATATCCTTAATGTATTTTTTAAACTCTTCTTTTTTTTTATCAACATCTTTGGTTCCTTTGAGATCACGAAGAATAGTTTCCTTCTTCATCAGATCTTTAACATCTTTGTCTTTCCTCATTTCCTTATATTTATCTCTTTGTTCCTTTAATTTCAACTCTGGTTCTTCTCTCTTTTTAGATTTAAGTGGTCCTAGAAACTCTTGTTCTGGTAAAGAAAAATCTATCTCTTGACTAGGAAATGGTAAATCTTCCATGTCATCCTAAAATAATTTAAATATGCTCTTTCAAGTTCACATTAATTCATTATACTTAGCACTTTAATACAATAATAAATACCAGTGCCATGAGGTCATACATTGATTCTAAATGATCCCAAATCATCTTTAATGATACATCCTTATGAATAGCAGCACGAAATTTTTCCCATATACAAACCATGTGAAAATATTTATTAACGCCTTTAAAGAAGAAACGTGTAATAGAATCTCACTAAACAGTGATGTATATTTTGTACAATATTATTGGTTGTACGTCAGATCAATGTAAACATAACCTATATAAACTTCATTATATCATCTTAAGTCTTACCAACAGGCTTATGTCCATTCATAGCAAAGAATAATTGAATTTCATTTTCGACATTCCATTCCACTTCATCGGTAGAACTTTCCGTTTGTTTCTCTTTAACTGCCATTATTACAATTCAGAAAATCGTAATGTGTCAATTCCGTCACGCTCACATTGGCTGCATTCACTGTGATATTTAAATATCATTAAAAACTACATTTCCAAATTTCGTAAAAGTACGAGATTATTCCAAAAAGTGTCGAATTTCGTGTGGAATTTCCCGCAACGAAATACAAATTATAAATATAAAATACAATTGGATAAAATGTAAAAGGTATATAAATATAAAAAATAAAAATTTATAATATAAATCTAACACAATGTGGAAAAGAATAGAATTCGTTCGCTCCGACTGCAGTGATGGGCAAAACCCTAGACTTCGAATAAATGTGAAGTTTGCCGATATGTCTATCTCCTTTCCTCTTTAGAACATTTTCCAAAGAAGGAAAAGAGACAAACATATCGGCAAACTTCAGATTTATTCGAAGCCTAGGGTTTTGCCCATCACTGAAAAAATAACAACACTGGAGGCAGTCATTTTCAGTGCTCCTGTGATCAATCACTGTGGCTTCCAGCAAAGTCATGAATGAATCTTTCATCCATCATCTTCTTCTGGATTCTTTCGTTCATGAGTAAAATCTACTCTGGTCCACTCTGGTCTACTCAACATGTTTCCAGTCATCAGAAACTGTTCACTCATCAGTAATCTGTGCTGAATGTAACCAATGAGAGCATCCAAAAAGGTCACCGCTCACTAAGCCGCTCTGTGAGCGGCCCTCAGGGGGTGTAGCTGTGTTTGTAGCTACAGTACGGGCTTAGCAACCTCGAGGTATCCTAGCTAGAGGGGGGCCAGCGGGCCCCAATAGATGAAAAGTAAGAGATACTGCAAACAATATTAAAACAATGGAGGAGTCACGTAAGATGATGATAAGATGAATGGAAATAAGCTAGTAATGAGTAGGCAGTGAATGAATATCGGTGGCAAAGAGCCTAAGCTAGGCACTAAGTAGTGAAAATAGTTCCTACTGTCCCCATTAGATGGCGTCACAGATACATTTGAATAAATTATTCTTTATTCTTCAGAAATGTATAATTAATACAATTCATTGTATGATAACACTACAGTATAATAGTTAATACGTTAAATTTATTATTTTCAAGCGTAGTTATTTAATTAAACAATAGTTATCGATCTTTTAGTTCGTAGCTCAATCTAGCAGCAAAGGTGGGAACAACTCTCACTACAAACTTGGGCGTTTTCCCACCGATGGTGCTACTAGCGCTAGACTGAACCGCTCTTGTGAGCGCTCACAAAGTAATTTAGTAAGCGGTAGCCTTCTGGAAGCAACCAATGGTCTTATTGGATGTGCTCTACTATATCAGTGTCATTGAGTGTCATGAAACACGTGATTTGAGAAGTATATCGAACATCCGGTGTCTGTGACTCCCTCTGAAAACGCAGTGTATACGAGTATGCCTGAACACAAAAATGGTGACTCCTAAAAATGATAGTCAGGATTCTGAGGAATTAGATGTCAAAGAAAACATGGATAACAATGAACAAAACGGAGAATTGGTTCCTGTAGAGAACAATGAGGAAAGAGATGTGTGTTAATTGTATTGTCTTATATGTGTTTAGTATTTAAGTAACTTTTTTCGTTAAAAATGTTTGTCGTATCTTATCTAAAACTGACGGACTCAATTTCCTCGGTACATGTTTCACTTAATCATTAATTAAAAATGTTTCCGTTTTATATATAATTTCTCGAATTTGTAAATTTTCTGATAACAAGTCCGCGATTGTTTAATATTATGCCAGTGCAATTGAAATAGCCACTGCAACCTGTTTAGCACAAAGATAATGCTATACGTTTAAATTAAAATTTAATTTTTGTAAAACTACTTAATAAAAATCTATTATTCTTCAAAATTTTTACAGGTAAATGCAGAAATTGACGAGCAAAGGAAAAAATATCAACCTTCACGTCTAGAATCATTCTTTGCAATAACAAAGTCTTTAATCATACGAGCCCTTATTATTTATTTCATTAGTTATCTATTCAGACGTCCTCAAACTGATATTAATTCTCAATCTACATCTGTTGTCAATCCAACACGTTTACAGGCTATAAATATATTTGAAAATGGGACATTGTTTGATTTGCATGTTTATTTATCAGAATTTGAGTCTTTCAAAGAGTTTAATGACCCAGAGAAATTAATATGGTTGGAGCAAGGATTAGTATATGGTGATTGGTATAGTGGACCAGATAAAGATGGCACAAAGACTATAAAATATAAATTTAATCCATCTGATCAATTAAAAAATAACGGGTCTGTATATCTCCACGTATATGTCACAAAAAGTGGAAAATCTCCAAATCCTAAAGCAAGCAAGAATATTTATGCGGGTGATTACATGTCATATTCTCGAAAAATGTTAAATAAATTTAAAAAAATTAAATACCAGAAAACACATAATTTGTTAACTGGTGAAACTACTGCAACTAGGGAAGAAATAGAGGTATGTATAAAATACAATTCATCACATTGATGTATTTCAATAATACAGAATTGCATATGTGTAATATTTGTTGTAGAAAGCTGAGATAATGAATCAGGAGTATGTGTCACATTGGCACCCTAATTTAACTATTAATTTAGTAACTGATCAAACTAATTGGGTATATGGTCAAGTGCCACCACCTTTAGATACATGTACGCTATTTATTTAATGATGCACTATGTAGTTTATGTTAATTGTGATTTACATATTTATTTTTTAATAGACATTCAATTTTTACCTGGAGAGACATTCTATAGACCTGTAATATACATGAATGATTTTTGGAACATGCAAAGAGACTATCAGCCCTTGAATAATACTGTAGAAGAGCTTGAACTCAGATTAACTTACCAACCTCTTTCATTGTTTAAATGGCAAATATATGCAGCTCAAACAATGAAGAATAAGTGGACATCTTCCTTTATGGGTATGTTATATTATCAATTCGGAATTTGACTAAAGGTGGTTTAACATTATTTTAAAAATGCATAGAAAGAATTTCAGATACATAATAATATTTTTTTATCTAGGAGATTCGTCAGATGAAGATGATAATGATCAAGATACTTTAAAAGAAACCTTATTGGAAACAAATCCTTATCTATTGGGTCTGACTATAATAATATCAGTATTACACAGTGTATTCGAATTTTTAGCATTTAAGAATGGTAAGAAATATCATTTTCGAAAGTATATTATTATGTTAGAATTCATTGTAAAGTATTGTTTTATGCATTTTTTTCAGATATTCAATTTTGGAATAATCGCAATTCGCTGGAAGGTTTATCCGTTCGATCTGTATTTTTCAATGTTTTCCAATCACTTGTTGTTTTGTTGTATGTTCTTGATAATGAGACGAATACAGTTGTTCGAATTAGTTGCGCGATAGGTTTAGGCATAGAAGTATGGAAAATTAATAAGGTCGTAGATATTAGTATTAATAGGAATTCAAAAATATTTGGTGTCTTTCCAACAATAAGTTTCCAGGATAAAGGATCATATGTTGAATCTTCCACAAAAGAATATGATAGACTTGCTTTTAAATATCTATCTTGGGCTCTTTATCCTCTTTTAGGAGGATACGCAGTTTACTCGTTAATGTATTTAGAACACAAGGGGTGGTATTCTTGGGTTCTTAGTATGCTTTATGGATTTTTATTAACTTTCGGATTTATCATGATGACCCCACAGTTATTTATTAATTACAAATTAAAAAGTGTGGCACATCTTCCATGGCGTATGATGTCTTACAAATTTTTAAATACATTTATCGATGATATTTTTGCATTTGTTATAAAGATGCCAACACTCTATAGAATTGGTTGCTTCCGCGATGATATTGTGTTTTTCATATTTTTGTACCAAAGATGGATATATAAAACTGATCACACGAGGGTAAACGAATTTGGTTTCTCTGGTGAAATGGAAGCTAATATAATTAATGAAAAGAAGCAGCAAGCTATTAAAGATAGTCAAAAGAATAAAACAGATAAAAAAAATGAGTAATGTCCTGTATATAATGTTAGCATTAAGTGTATTATTCGAACTTTATTGAAATTCATAAACATAGTACCAATGGATATATCCGCACGCATTAATATGTATCTCTGTGGGTTTGATATACCTATGTATGTATGTATATATTCTGTTGGTTTTGAGATTTAGCCAAATAAAAAAAGCCTCGTAAAGATATCGATATAAAAATGTTGATATGCGTTGTACTAGGCATAATATTATCAGAAAAAAGTTTAGTACGAACATAAACAACTACGTATATTCATTTAGACAACTGTTGTCATCGTGTGTTGTTCCAAATTTGTATTTGCATTTCGTTTCTATTCCAATGCTTTGCAATTATTATCGTTCTGTACGATATTGAAAAAAATATAAAATTTATTTCGATGTTTAAAAAATATTTATAACTGCAATTCTTGTTACTGTATACAAATAAATCGAAATCATCATCGTCGAGCTATACGTACGTGCATACACATATACATGACTGAATAATTTGAATGGAAAATAGTATTATATTTTATGCGTATACATCACATTGATACAGTGACATTTGAGCAGTGTAATTCTTGTGCTAAATATTTTACTTATATATCTATACAAAGTATCGCAAAATATTTTTGCAGAAAAGGACAACTTTAAACTAGCTCGAGTAATGCAAATATTAAAAATTAAATTGTGACCGCTCTTAGATACAATTATAATTATTGTTTTTAATAAATCAATATGTCTAAATAATGTTTAATTTTATGTTGTAATTAATTTCTGGCGGACTGTTAATTTTTCTTTGAATTGACTTGTATTTTCTAAAAATAACAATACTGAATAATTTGATGAAATGTACATACATATATTACGATTACTTTAAATATTAAGGCTTTTATGTCATCAAAATATTTGAGTAATATATTTATATAAACTTCGAGGCTATAATAATTATTATGTTGCATTTGTTTGTAACATAATTAATTGTAACAAGGCTTTCTGTAAAGTATAAAATCATGAAACGGTAACAGGAAATTGAAAACAGTGAGCTTAGGTTAGGTGTGAAATGCTCTATAAATGTAATAGAGTCTTGTAATACACATTATAAAGCATAAATTTGTGGTTGAGAAAAAACATTGACACATTGAATATATTCGAAATGCGATGTAAAAATGTACAAGAATATTTGCAGGTGTATAAGATTTATAAGAAATTCTACAATAAGGAAAAATTATACTTGTTACTTATTATACAGTATAAAGGATGTCTTCAGGTATACAACAACGTCTTCAACAATATTTCCTATTTGCAATTTGTTCAAATTCCTTTCAATTCTAAGATTAACGTGTAAATTATTTTTTTTTTTAACATCAATTGTATAGTCAGTAGGAATTTAAGTAAATTACATAAACTCAAAACTGATTAAAATGTCAATGATTAAACGTTTTTACGAAAAGGCACTTTTTCTTTTTGTATGAAATGCACATGCATTAAACTTCGATATATTGAAGATCATTTATTTATGGATCTTTTTGCACTTGTAGTTGTTATGAATTTAAATAAGAGCATTAAGTTATATAATAGCCAAATTAGTTAAACTCTTAAATTTAGAAGCATTATTTTTGTATACACTTTCTTAATATATAATACATAAACCATAAGAAAATAAAAAGTTTAAGAGAGACTGCATTACAATATTACAGTATGGGTTACGAATTGAACCAGTGATTTGATATCAAGTTCTTAAAAAGGCAAACAATTTTAATAAAATGGATTAGTAATATGTATTGATATCATATCTCATTAAAAAGTAACAGTTACTGTTTTCATTATTATGTTCCCTTTTTTAATGCACAATAATAGTGCAAACTATAAGCAGCAAAAGTTAACCATTTCATTTTTATACAGATTACGTGCCTTTAACATAATATTTTACGAATTTCATATTAACTTTTCAGGTAATTGTAGAAAACGTTAGCATTATGATATACTTGTTTGAAAAATTCTCCAGTTTCTATAACAAACAGGTATGACAATAATACTACACGTATCAATAGCTATTCTTTTTGTACAAATGCACTATGATAGTGATTATGTACTAGAGATATATAAACAATTTAAGGTACAAATTTTTATGTACAATATTTCATATCGTGTTAAAAAAATACAATTACTTCAAGATGAAACCTATATTCCTTTTATTTGCAATATTTTCTTATAGTATCCTGTTTAGCGCCATACCAGCTGTATTTGTGTCACTACATAAATAGTTAAATAGTTGTTAAAAGTAATTAGTCAAAGTAGTTGAATATGGTGAACATTTATAATTGAAAAATCACAAATATTAATCTTATCTCATAATAGCACCGCGAGCAGTTTTTATTAAAATGTGAAAAGCTATAAGAGAAATAGTTTAAATGTGCATTAATATTTTTCCTTATATTTGTCTACAGATTGCATGGCACTACAGGAATTCAAGTACTGTATGTAATTAATGTACAATATAGTATGTAATTGTATAGTATCTAAATAATTAAATCGTCAAATATAGCATGATATATCAAAATTAAACTTTCATACTATATAAAACTGTAATTTTGAGTTTTCTTAAAATTTTAAGTACTAAAAGAAAAGTTTACATAGCATGAAGATATAACGTGCAAACTTGAATAAGAAGTTTAAGTATTGTAGTTTAATTAACGAAATTTTATAAAATTAATAAAATGTAATTGAATAGTAAAAGTTAGTAATGAGCTACTGCTCTTGCAATAAAAAATAAAAACAAAGTGTAAGTGTAGTGAAGTTTAATAGTAATTAGAAGGAATTACAAAATACTGTTCTACTTTGTACGTTGCACAGGTTTTATATGCAAGTGTAAGCCTGAGAGGCAGCTTTCTTCTAAAATTATTAAAATTTCTTTAAGTCACTGTACACAAATTTATAAACTTATTCTACTTAGCACAGAATGTGCTACTAAAATGGCAGTACTTTAAGTAACGGATATCCGTACTACTTTATAAATGGGCTGTGCTTGATATTATTTAAGTATATTGTAAGATCTTATTGAAAAAGTTGTCCTACAAAATTTTCGGTCATTTCAAGCCTATGAGTATTTTGTATTTTTCTATGCAAATGAATTCCTATACTTCTTTTCTTATCATTTGCTTGCACATATTCTGCCATAGATTAGAAACTTATTTCATTGCTTGCACGATAGTCATGATATGCATTTTATTTAAGTTGCAAGGCCTGCATCTTTAGCTATACTATAGAATACGCTAGATGGGTTACCAAGTAACGCTTCTGGGGAATCGAATTCCACAATAAGTCCCTTATCCAAGACAATGATCCTATGAAATATTTTTCATTTATTATCAATGAATATTTAAAAAAAATTGTATTATAGATTTCAGAAACGTACCTGTCTGTATCAAGAATTGTGTTAAGTCTGTGAGCTATTGTGAGAACCGTACAATCTTTAAATTCTTGCCTAATTGTTCTTTGAATTAAATCGTCTGTTTCTAGATCGACTGACGCTGTTGCTTCGTCAAGAATAAGTACTTTTGTTTTTCGAAGTAATGCTCTTGCTAAACATATTAATTGTCGTTGACCTATACTCAAATTGTCTCCACCTTCGGTTACTTCGTGTAAAAGACCATTTGGCAAATCTGAAATGTAAGGAAAAATATGGTATGTCTAACATGTATCTAGTATTCATTAATTGTCATAAAAACCAGTTAAATTGTATTTACTTTTTACAAAAGATTTAAGATGCGCGTGTTCTAAAGCTCTCCACACTTCGTCATCAGTATGATTATTGAAAGGATCTAAGTTCATTCTGAAAGTTCCTGAGAATAATACAGGATCTTGAGGTATGATAGTCAATCTAGATCTGAGATCATGAAGACCCAATTTGGCAATATCAATATCATCGATATAAATTTTTCCTGCAGCTGCTTCTATTATTCTGAATAAGCCCAATGTTAAAGAAGACTTGCCAGCTCCGGTTCTACCAACTATACCGACTTTTTCTCCTCCTTTAACAGCAAATGTTATTCCGTGAAGTACAAGTTCTAGGCCTTCCCTGTAACGAACTTTGTAATCTTTAAATTCGACAAGTCCCTGCATAGGCCATTCATTAGGCGGCGTGTAATTTGGATTTTTCCATGCTGCTTCTTGAGGAGTTTCTGTATATTCTTTTATTCTTTCTACTGCTACAATATTTGTTTCAACATCAGAAGTCATCCTCACTAACCAATTTAATGTTTGAGTAACCTAAACGGATTATTTTTTGTTATAAATTATCCTACAATTAAATAACGTCTAATTATTAGATACAACTAAATATTTTATCTTACTTGTAAGGCATAAGTAACAGATAATCCAACTAAACCAGATACCATATTACTACTCGATACAGCAAAAAATGCAGCAAAAAAGATAATTAAATTTCCCACCATTTCCAGACGTACTGCCAACCATCTACAAAAATGAATCATTCATTTTGAGTGATCATTTTTTCCCCTTATATTAATCTGTCGCTATTATTTATAAGAAAGTTTATACCTATTTGCAATTATGCTAGGATAATAGCACACTTGATTAAAATCCACTTTACTTTCAGATTCATGAATAAATCGTTTTTGTACTCCAAAAGCTCTAATTATCTGTGCCCCTAATAAATAGATCATGAATGTTATACTATATATCACAGTATAGTTGATATTGCTGATTGATGTATGCATAATATATACAAGTTATAAATTATTAAGATATAATAAAAGAATTCCTTTACATACCAGACACTGATTCACTGAAATGAGAGTATATAGGAGATCTTGAAACAGATTCCAAACGTTTAAGCTGTCGGGAACTTGCAACATATAATCGTTGGACAAAGTAATAGATTACACCTATTGGTACTATTACTGCTATAAATATTGGTGTGGTAACACTTATAACCAACAGAGTGGCTATAACCTGTAATATGCATGTTATTTAGAAATAGAATATATTTTAGAAATCTTTTTAGTATGTAATATTAAAATCAATTAAGTATTACCGTCTTATACAACATGAGAAATACAGGATAAAAAGTAAGTAAATGCTGTATGTACATAAAAGATACCCATTATGAATAGAATAGCTTCATAAAGGAAGAATTCAAGAACTAATAATGATCATGCAAATTATCAGATGAAGCACCCACATCTACTTTTCCAAACACCAATATGCAACTGAATGCAGACAATGTATCCTTTTTACCTATCAATATGTACTACGATGTGGTTATTAAATAGCATTATAAACAAATGTATACAATATATATATAGATACGAAATATTAATTAGTATACACTTGCACAACCATTTTCTACCACTTATCGCAGAAACATATTTGCCATATTTGCCACTTATAATACACTAAACTACCATTATAAGTTATTGGAATGGACACAATTATACTCAATTATAGCTTCTATAACATATTTTACGTACATTATCCACTTATAATTAGCTATATATTTTCATACAATCGAATCTGAACATTTAAAATCTACCAAAAAGCTATAATTGAAGTACAGAAACTGTAACAGATCATATTTCCTAAGATGTTACCAAATAAAGAAATGTCCAATGATGTATTAAATGAGAAATACTTCAGCATAAAACTAATACAAACCCTTTGATGAAATGGAAGAATACGAAGGTAGACCCAATGAATTATGACTGAAGGAGTTATAGGAAGGAAATAATAAGAACCAATCATCTTAATCTGGTTCAGGCTTTTCCAAAAATTACCTCGAACAAGCAATAGACGCTATCAGAAATTTGCTGAGGAAGAGATGTGTCCAGTATGTCGACGTCTTTAGCAAACCTGGAGATAATACGACCAGTAGGAGTCGTATCAAAGAAGGTCAATGGAGCACGCATCACAGCACGCAGCATCACTATGTGCATCTGGCGAGCAGCCAGCCAGCAGCCCAGCTGCGGTGCCAAATCGCAGAAAAAACTCGCCATCGCTACAACATCAGACATGGTTGGCTTTCATTGTAACCACATTAATAAGAGTTTAGAATTTTAAATATTTGAAACTGTGCCAAAAAACATTACAAATCTAAAACATTTGATAATTATTTCTGTTCATTTTGTAGTTCTACACAAACTTGTATTTGCTACTAAGAATTCTTTATAAAATTATCATGTACTATATAAATTTGGAAGTACTATTCATTTTTAATATACGTAAACAAATAAAAATACATATTTTTTAAACAAATAAATTTATAATACCAAAAATTAAAAATACTGTTTTGTCTCATGTTATGCGAGGGGGTGAAGTTTGCTGTGGAGAGGCATGCCAGGCACACATAATGGAACAACACGTAAGCAAATTAAGCATTCAAAGAGTTTAAGTCAGTGGTTTCTAAATATTTCAGAGGATGACCTTTTAAAAAACTAAGAATTTTCTCATTGTTGATTCGAATAATAATAAATAAATGATATATACTTTCTTTGGATTGTAAGTCCCTCTACAAATCGTGCTCCTCAATTTAGAAAACACTGCTTTAAGGATATGATAAGAAAGAAAGCAAATACATAACACAAATTTTTCAAGCACAAGCAACATTATCTTCATAGTTAAATTGATTGTATAATTGTGTCCATTACCTTACTGTTTAAGATGTTATAATATATTGCACTGTAGTTTTGTACATTATAGATTGCTGGTGACTGTATAAAAGAACTGCTAAAGGTGAAATTTTCTTTAAAGCTTTGCTTGATACTATTCAAATGTCAATAAATTAAAGCAAATGATATTTAGTAAATGCTTTATGCATAAATATAAATAATAAAATATAGATAATATCTACAATACACGATTTTCATTCTGTGTATTAACTGTAGAGTCTAATAATAATATTATAAAAAAAGTTTTACAGAAATATCATCATTAATATCAAGTTTACAGATACATATCAACTATAATAGTACTTAAAATACAGTCACTATACAACCCAATATTTTTATACCTAAGAAATGATGATCATAAAAGTCAGAGACAAGAATTTCACTGTTTTGCTTGTAAAACAGACTATTAATTTTTATATTAAAACCTTTTTTGTAAATATAACTTTAATAAATTAATATTCCTGATAAAGTGAAAAACTGCATATTAATTATTATAACAATATTATTCGATAAAATTATTTTAGTGGATTTCAACATGCAAATAACTTTTTTGATAAACTTTTATTGCAATACTTTTTTAATAAATCCAAGAAATTGGAATTTTTAACGGAAATTAAATATAGTAGTATGTCCGAAAATATTATAATTTTAAACTAAATTTGTAAAATTGAATTATCAGTCATATTTATTATCAAAATTGTGATTGCAATAAGTAAATGGTTACAGTTGTTACTAAATGCAACCATCTAATAAGTAAATATAAACTTTAACACCTAATACTTTTACGAAAATCAGTATTTGTTAAGCGCAATATTTACAACGAGAAAATATCATACCGAAAAAAGGCAAGTAATCCAAGAACGCAGTATTGTTGGTAGAGTATTATCAATGACTTCAGTGTCTGAACCGAGTCGACTAAGAATTCGACCGATTGGAGTTTTGTCAAAGAACAACATTGGGCTGTGGAGAACACTTCTCAGCATACTCTCGAAAAGATGCACTGAAGCATATATTGATCCTCTCGCCATGATTAATGCTCCTCCAATCACTGTTATGCCTACAATGATTGGTGATAACTTTGGTGTATCGTTAAACTTGACAGTAATATTAGGAATTGCGTCAGTTCTTGTAATATTTGCATTTGACATTAATACAGATGGTTTAAGCTAAGACCTAATTCATTTAACAACAATAATAATCTTCATTATTGCTCACCCATCTGTCTAACACCACGTGCAAGTTCCTTATCGCAGTCACACGTATATTGAGGTGCATTTATAATTATAAAAAAGAATTATTAGTGTATTATTAACAAAATATAAATGATTCCTAACACAGTTTACCTAGGCAACATGAATTAAATAGTAAGCATGCATTATATATTTTAATAATTGTTGTTTCAAATATTTATTAGATTTTTAACAAGTCCTTTACGTAGCAAGGCTCAGATTGTTTCACAGTTATTTTTATATTTTTTTTATCGGTTAATTACACACTTGCATATTGGGAAACTACTGTTTCATTACTTTTTAAAACGATATAGAGGAGTATAATATTAGATAACATAAAAATTCCTTCTATTTTTGCTTAATTGACTCTAATGTTCGCAATCCGTAAAACAAATGTTATTTAATGTTTTGTGATAAACTTCATCCAATACATAACTATTTTTCTCAATACAATTGAATATTTGACTTGAGTGCGTGGTGTTAAACAGAATTAGAAACGTTTTTAAATGACACATAACTTGGATTCTAACAATTTACTTATCTGAATACCAGAAATAATGCAGCTATATTTATATAGATAATTAATATACTGAAGTAACTTCTATGCAATAGTGAAATAATATTATACAGTATGACTGACTATATATAAATGCTTGTCTTGAATATGCGCAATAGCACATATTTTTTAGACCAGATAAAGCCAAAATCTATTGAGCTTTTTTATGTTCAATTTAAATCTCTTTAAGATTTCTTTAAAATATTAAAAAATACATACAAACAGCTAATATACATTGCAAAAAACCAAGAAACTACATGAGGTAACCATCATTATATGAGAATATAAAATTTCATTGAAATTCATTCAACTATTTACACAATTTTGCTAATTGACAACTGACATTAAATAACAATTTTTTTTAAATTCTTAAAATATGATTAGAGGATGATAAAACTGTTCTTTCTTATAGGTTGTACTGTAAAAAGAAATATTGAATTTCTTCATTTGGAATATGCATCACATTTTACTTTCGAATTTTTGCATGTAGTCTGACATTGTTGTACTCATTTGATATAATGTTGTTGTAATAAATATAGTCAACATTATTTTATTCCGATAGTATTAGAAGTAAATACTTTAAAAACTACAGATCTATACTCAATGAAGTATGCTACAACTGTTACATATGTTGTAATAATGAATGGTTATTGGATTTTGTTAGCAATTGTAATAGCACTAAGGAATCCTACAGGAAGATATGAGCAAATAACTATCTATACTTATTTATAATTGCTTCGTGCTTGGTGGTATATAATTGAAAACTATTCATAAATAGAAATATTTTAGAAAAACTCTGTACTTTGGTAATAAGCAGGCAAGGGAAAGCTTTTTCGTTTCACTACTTCATGCTTAAATATTATATTAGTGTTAATATATAGCTATATAATTAAGTTCTATGATTCTACGCTATCAGTTGCAAGAACAATATTTACATTTGAATTAGTAAATGGACAAAAGTACGTGCTAGGCTGAACTTATTTAATTCTGTATGACAAACGGAAACAATTACATTTAAACATATATCACTATAAAGCTGTACTTTGTTTATAAAAATTCTATACACAGCAAACCGCACTCGCACTAGCATTTTAGAATACCAGTGGAATATTGTTAATATATTAGTTTTAGTTAGTATATAACACAGAATTTTTAAAATAAAGGAAATGTTATCTTGTAAATTTAATATGCACAGTGTTAATAGCAGACTTATACAAATATATTTTTTATTTATAGTTTAAAAATAATTAAAAAATTTAGTTGCCCCAAAACTGTGTAATCTGTGAAGGAACATGCTTTTTATATGTATAACATTTACGTTATCATAAATGAAATACTTATTGTATTTTAAATAATAACGTACTTCATAGGGAGAAGCTTACCTCGTAGTTTTTTATAAGAATTTAATTCTATTATACTGTATTTTCAGGAAGAAATTGATGAATATCATAAAATAGTTAATAATTTATAAAAACATACCCTGTCCAAGGCCAAGTCCACCATACACTCCAAGATACATATCTTGTTTTGCTCTATCGAATGTATTATTATTACTATAATCTGTTAAGTTATCATCTGACCACAGACCGAGCCAAGCATTTGAACCAATGCTAAATCCTTGGTAAACAGCATTCATTATGATAGTTGTTATCGATAAAAACCATCCAATGGACTTGAAGTAATGTGAGTACACTTGCCATTTAACCTTATATATAAAATCAATATATAAATATAGTTTTAAGACTTTCTTAGAAAGTATGACAAAAAATAACTTACACTTCCAGTTTCAGTTTTTTCTACTTCTATTAATTTTTCTGTTAATTTTTGCGGTTTTAATTGCATCTCCTTTTGGCTACTACTATGTAAATAATTTCCAGATTGTTGACTATCTGTAGAATATTGTCTGAAATTTTGTAACAAAAATTTGATATTGAATTAAAAATAATTTAAAAAAAGAAACAAATATAAGTAAAACGAAGAACGATAAAAGAATCTTACCTTTTTAAGGAGCCATTTAATGATTTCCTGTCAGGTATAGAACCAGACTCACTGTGACTTTCCGATACTCTTGATTTACCCCTTGCTAATTTCTGTTGCAGTTCATTTGATCCTATCGTTGATTCCAATTGTTGCTTAATTTCATTTAAATCAGCTTCAGAGCCATCATCAGCATGCACTGTTTTAAATTTATCATAATAGATTTAAAACAATATAAGATATTTTAAAATTGTATTATTACAATATTAAAGAATAGTAACTAAAAATTCTCTTTACATTAAGTTAAAAAGTTTGAAATACACTTAGTAAATCATGGCTGTTAATTTTAGGAATTTAGAGTAAGGTATAAAGATAATTAATTATAATACGGCTTATTAAAATAATATTTCAAGGACACTCCGAATCAAGTTTAACATGCACTATCAAAAAATCCTACATGCATATCTTCCTTGTATATTAATATTATACTGTACTAAGAGGACAATAAAAAATTGCATTGGAAATGGTTTCATACTATAAGCCGGCTGACAAGTTTTAGCAAATTGCAAAAAATACTAACATTCTTGATACTCTAATATCACAAGCCAAATGCAATATAAACCATTTTCCGGACAATCACACAAATTGAAGTAGGAAAAGGAATCGTAATTACTTTTTCACTGACTTACGATTTCCAACTTAGATTCATGAAAAATATAATTGAAGATTATTAAAGAATATGAATACGGAAGTATACAAAAATTAGAGGAATTGATGTGTACCTTCTTGAAGATGTTGCACTAAAAATTCAGCAAAGGCTCCTCTTTTCTCTAAAAGTTGTTTGTAACTTCCAATTTCTGTTATTTCGCCGTCTTTAAGTACAATGATATTATCAACCTCTGGTAAATAAGTAATGCCGTGTGTAACAAGTATTCTTGTTTTCTTCTTAAGTAGACCACTACTGCCGATCACATTTTCAAATATGTGTTTTCCAACGTGTGAGTCTACTGCACTCAATGGATCATCCAAAAAATAAACGTCAGAATCATTGTATACTGCTCTTGCTAATGCTACTCTTTGCTTTTGTCCACCAGATAAATTTATACCCTTTTCTCCAATTTCAGTTTGATCACCTGCAGGCAATATTTTTAAATCTGGACCCAACGCACATGCGTCGACTACACGATTATACAAGCTTTTATGAAGCGGTTTCCCAAACAAAACATTATCTTGCAACGACGCATTTTGTATCCATGCCTGTTGAGATACATATGCAATGGAACCCTATTACACATAAAAAGAGGCTTCTATATAAATATGTTCTTATATATCGTACGGATTATATTAAAGGTATTTACTTTTGTATTAACTCTACCACTTATTTTGTCCATCTCTCCAAGGAATGCTGATATAAGAGAACTTTTACCAGATCCTACTGTACCAACAACAGCTACCAACTGACCCTGTTCTACTTGTATATTGATATTTTTTAATACTGGTTTTTCATCAACTTCCATATCCCACGCGAAAGTTCCATTTTCAATTAATAATGTGTGTGCTATATTGTATTGATACACATAATATATTTATTATATAATATTTCCTATAGTAGTATAATGCAACTAGATATGGACAAAATTTTGATCTAGATTCTAGGTAAAAGTTTCAAACAATAAATAAAAGATAAACAATTATTTATCTAAAGAATAATCTCTTTTAATAAGAATTTAAATTTAATCGTCGCGAGTAAATTGCAATACGGTTGCGTTTATTCATTACCTATTATTCGAATAATATTTTGACCATGTTTGAATACAATATTCTTAATTACATAAAACTTACGCTCGGATGGGTCGTGCTGAACATTATTAGGATCCAATTCTTCTGCATTCATGAATTTGTTAATACGTTTTATAGACACATAGCCCTAGATATAATACATTTCATTATCAAATAAATGATTGTATGCATTGCGATTGAATTTTAAGAAATTTTAGATATACCTGGACCATGTTACCAATCATCATAGGTAATACAGAAAGAGGAAATCTCAAGATATTAAAAAGACTGAGTGAAACAAAAGCAATTGTGCTATCTAAATGATTGTTGTCGTCTATAAGTACATATGTTGCAAAGGATACTAAGGATACCTAAAAATTCATAAACGAATTAGAAACAATAATACATATAATTTTCGTAATTAACAATATTATTTTGTTTAACAATAACTTACTAAAAAGGGAGCAAAAGACCAGATGAAACTTGTTCCAGAATTAAGATATGCTGCTTCTTTTAATACTTTGATTTCTTTCATACGTATTTTCAGTACTTTTTCTTCAAACGAAGGTTCCCATGCATATAATTTTAATACTTTTATACCATTGAGAATTTCACTCATTAACTTAACTCTCTCATCTTTGTGTTTCATTTGTCTGATTTGCAGTGTTTTCACTCTATTTGTAATTAATATATTTATTGGAATAAGAATAAGTAGAACAGCTAAACCGGCAAGTACAGCTGGTCCTAATATATCCCACAAAAAATATAAGGCTATAATTATTTGCAGAGGTGCAGACCAAATCATATTTATGTATGCTGTTAAGTCCATAAATCTCTGCGCATCCACAGACATTAAGTTCACTATTTCTCCAAGTGTTGATTCTTTTCTTGCAGAATTAGACATTCTCAATGCCTTTCGATAAATTGCAGCTATTAATGCAGTACGCATACGCAAACCAACTAAGAACATGCGGTGAAAGTACTGAGATAAAATTAATGTTTGAAGAATAGCTGTAACTAGGAGCAAAACTGCATAGAAATAGCCTTTCCACATTGTCTCACGTTCATCGATAAAACGAATAAGTAGTCTAAATTAAAAACAATATAATTATAGTTGTAATGATTTATTTATTTATTTAAAAAAGTCCGAACTAATTATTTGAAATAGCAAAGACAATACTCAAATAAATCGTCGTACTTACCTCAGTATTTGTGGACTAGCAAAAGTCATAATATCTTGGACAAATTTAAGTAGAGCACCAAATATAAAAGTAGAACCAAAGGCTCTACAAAGAGGTAGTAAAACTGATGATACTCTTTTTTTACGTCCACTATTAAAATCAACATGACCGGATGCCTTTCTAAATGATGCCTTAGTGCTCTGTACACTAGAACAAAAATAAAAGCTATGTTCATACTTAGACATAATATTTACTTAAATATACCATAAATGCTTTGATGAATTACGTATACTAAACTTACCTAAAGCAAGTCCAAAATACTCTTGTTAGCAAAAGTAGATCAATATTTAATTATTAATGTAATATTGTATATAATTCCTTTACAGTGGTATAATTTATTCTAATTATCTAATATTGAACATAAATGTCACACTTACTTGTTACTTTTTTGTGTATTCTTATTCCAATATTTATCGAATCTTGGTACAATTTCACCAGCTGAATCTTCTGGATTCATAGACCATAAATCTGTAGCTTCCAAAGGTTTTCGAAAGCCTTGCCATGCCATTGAATCAAACCAACTAAAAAATATTTTTGAAGGAAAGGAAGATTTTTGCTCTGGACATGGTCTTTCTACCTATTAATTTAAGTGTGCAACATTAGCCTGTAATATTCCATTTCATCTACAGTATATATATATTAATTTAATAAATTATATTAAATTACCCTTGGATATTCAGAATACTTAGGTTCTTCATCAACTAAAAAGTTCAACAAGAATAAAAGTACCACTAATGGGTAATATATCATGTATGATACGAAGGAATATGATGCTTCTCCCTGAAACAATCATATTACAAATATATTACAAGGATATACAACTTAATTTAAATAAATAGTAAATCTGCAATTAACCTACCTCATTGATGTATAACCTCAATAAACTTCTGTATTGAACAACTCCACATAATACAAGAAGAAACCAGAATAAAAATAATAATCCAGAAGTTTGCATTCCACATTTTCTATTATATACTACTAATATACCTGCTAGAATCTGCAATAAACAACAGAAGCCATGTTACTGTTGTAAATTAATTTTCTGCTTCTACAAAACCATTATATTAATATAGCAATACTTACAAAAGAAATTATTTTAATAGATGGTGTACAATAGTCAACACTAAAAACGGTTTCACTAGTACTTCTACTTATAGCATTTTCTAAGTCAACCATACTAAGTACAATTAGAGCCACTACAAGTATTTGTTTTGAAATAAATAACCATGTATATGGAACATTCTTTTTTTTACTATTTATAAGATAATAAACTTCTATCGCAGAGAAAACCCACAAAAATGCACAGGGTACCCATACTAGTATAGTCTTTTGAAAACATTCTGGAATATCCGGATCATCCGTATTCCATACTAAATCTTCATCCTAAAATAGTAAAAACATATGCATGTAATATATCTGTTTTAAGATGTAACATTTCATTAACGCATAATTGCGTTAATTTCTCCTATTCACACTAAAATCGATTCATGGGATGTCTTACAATTTAAAAACAATGAACATCCTTTGAAAACAAAGAAGAAGACGAAAAGTATAGGTAGGATAGGTATACTCACCCAAAATTTGCTACCGCAAAATTGATCCATAGTTTTATTCTCCATAATGATACATTTACTTTTCCATTGGTTTTTTTATTCAGTTACACATATAGATTGTACAATTGTTACGTTTCTTTCTAGGTTTTCTCAGACAGCTAACGAGATACTACACGTTGATTGATAAATGTCTTTAATTTCAAATAGCGGTTGTACTTAACCACGAGACAATTGTTCGTAGAAATGCACAATTTCAGGATTATTGGCATATGCCCAACATCGATGATACCAACTGATACTCCACTGTTGTCCATTCGACCACTCCACAGTCCACACTCGCTTTCTCAAGCAAACGCAAACTGTGCCCGAAATCAGTCCGATTCACACTATAGCATTGTCGGTTTATTTGCCCAATCAGATTTCCATCAAGACATTGCGTCACATTATCTTACTTTGCAATCTGCCTGCGCACTGTTCTAAAATAACCAGTGTTGTACATACGAAAAATTTTCTAGAAGTTAGAACCCTTGTCCCTCCATGGTAACTTTCAATCCAACATTGCATAAACTACATCAAATAAATATTCATATATACTTTCTTTTAATTCGTACTGTTTATATGGTTTCTTAAATGTTGTTTACATATTTCGGTTTAGACACGTTGAAAATGTTAACATTGTACCGGGAATGCTTCAAGGAACATTTTTATTATGTAACAATAAAGATGTTCTTATTACATGCATGTCTACAGATAGCAACTACAATGAGTAGGCACATATTTTATATTTTTTACATGACTTGTACGAAGTGCTATTAGCGATACGAGATAGAATGGTTTAGCACTATTAAATAGTTATAAACTGTTTCAATTTCTGTAGAGGACATACTAAATGAACTTGCCAAAACAAGAAGACAAATTTAAATGGAATGAAAAATAAAAGTAAATAAGGAATATGAGTATAGTTTCTTTGTTCGTTTTTTCCAAAATTCTATTATGTTAATAAACTCTCCTAGAATTATTTTCCATGTACATCACTGAAAATACCGGTTTATCTTTTCAAAACAAAAACTTCTCCTTTTAAATAAAAAACGATAATAATAACTTACAATGATATTTAATCTATATATTTTATTATTAGGTTTTCTTGTTTTACAAGAAAATTCTCACGTAAAACACGAAAAATTTTACACAACAAGATATATGTGGACTTGAAAGAACATTGTCAATCGAGTAATATATGCCGTAATACTGATGATAACTTGTACGGGTTTTTTTATTGATTTAAATCCAGTGAATTAATCATTTTCAATCAGCAGCATCTGATTTATGTGACATGTTAAGACCTTCTTTTATAGGATGCAATGAATATTTTTAAAAAAATGTATAAAATTGTATTATCTCCACGTAATCTTTCTCTCTCAGAAATCTATACATAAATAATAATAATTTTTGTATTGATAATAAAAATGCAATAATAATAATAAGAATGTATAAGAATCAAATATTTAATGAATTTATTATTGAGTGTATATATAATCTGAAATTTGCAACAAAAAATGTAATTTCTGAACTGCACGTGTTGTTTATACTTATACATATCATATATCAGAGATACTATTAGTGACATTTTACTCTCTTTGCCGAGATGGTGTTTGATAATCTATAACCTTGAAGTTTTTTACTCGAGGTGAAAGAGACATAGCACTACTTGTATTGTCATGCTACTACAAATTGTGTTAAAAGTACATATTACACAATATTACAGCAGATAACATGCACCATGATACAGCTAAATTTTTATATTGTTAATAACAATGCAATGATAATACAATTATTTGATTGATATACATATTTTATTTAGAATAGAATAAATATATATATTTATTTACTCTAAAAATATATATATGCATCATTTAAATTAATTTAAAAATATTATATCTATATTTCGTGTCACATGTCAGTCATTACTATGTACTTGTTGTAGAGTAACTCTTCATCAGCTACTACCACTTGTTTTTATCAAAATTTAACAAATTTATTTAAAGAGAAAAAACAATATAATAGAAAAATAATAGCTGCTGAAATACTAGTATGTACTAATATTATAGTGCTATAATACAAAATTCATCTATCTAGCTTAGCAGAAGTGAAGTGTTTATTATTATTATATTATAACTTGCATAATTTTAGTAAATCTTATTGTTATTATTATTATTACTTTCAGTATATTTTTGTGTACATTGGGATAATGAAAGACAACTACTTGTAAACTTAGATTTTTTATAAAGTATCTCATAAAACTAAAAAGAAAGGTTTAATCAATTTATTGATAACACGACAAGGTCTTGAATATATTGGAAGCAATTGCTGCCAGTTGCTTTATTCAATTTGACCCCCATGTTAATTGACTAAGGAAATGTTTATGTAAATACATCAATAGAGATAGAGAGTAGGAGAAGTGTGATGTAATGATGCAATTACATTGTATCCTATCTGTTCATTCTTCCTGTAAAGTCATTTCCTTACCTTGGATCATATTCATCGCCAGGAACGATTATTATGTATTTAAATAAATGCAATAGTTTTGTACCATAAATACATGTATTGTTATTAATAATAGACTATAATAAATAATATTATTTTTATTTTTTATTAAAAGAGTAATTACAAATTTTTTACGTTTTGTTACAATTTCATATATATTAATCATTTGTTAGACTTGAAGTCTTGAAATGTAGAACTTGGAAATATTAAATGTAATGCTATGTTCATAAATATTTATTCGTTAGAAATAGATCTTCATTATAATATGTATGATTTAATGTAAATTTCATTCAATTTACATTGATTTTATTAAACTTGATAAGTTTGAGTACTGCTGAATAGCAGTGTTAATAACTCTGGATCAGTTAAATTTTTCCTATATTTTTGTACAATTTCTTGAATCTTTAGACGCCTACGTACGTGTGGCGGGTGATAACTGTAAAATAACATAAAATTAAGTATATTAATCTTATCGAAATAGAAGTTTAATTTTGTCATACCTATCGTTGTCGAGCCTTTTCCTACGTCCCATATTTAGTGCTGTTTGCCTAACAAGTGTTCCTAATACTCTTCTAGACACAACCATACCATCAATTAAGGGAGTAGCTAAATTGATTCTAGAAACTGGACCTTGCAATCTAACTCTCATTAATCCACTACTAAGAGCCTGAAGAAAAATTACTTGAACATCTGATGGCTGTATCACCCTAGTTTGTTCAAGACCAGTATAAGTGCAAGGGAGAAGATCACCTGCACCCGAAAAAGAAGTCATATAATTTTGCTGTTTCATAAAACTAAATAAATCAATAGATATATTTATTCAATTGAAAATACCAATTGGAAATTGAGTGTAATCCTCTAAACTTTCAAGCCAAACAACCATAATTTTAATATCAGTTTGTATAGGTAAGACTTGTTTAGTTGTTCTTCGTGGTTTAACTGGGTCTGTACTAGAGGAACTAGAAGGACTGGATCCTGTTAAACTAGGAGGCTGTTTTTCTAAATCAAGTGACATTGCTCGAGAGTTTTGTATTATATTTTGACCTGTTCCATAGTTTCGAGAGTTAGTATGTTCACTAATGCTTCTTTCGAACCAGACTGCAATTATTATATGAAATTATACCCTCATATGTATTACTATTTATTTTTGTTCAGATGTCATACCTTGATTCGCACTGATGTCACTAGAATAACTTGTTTCCTCTAATGAGTCTGAATTTACCATATTATTTGATTGAGTTGGCACAACAAAAGCAATTTCTGAGCTAACGTCTGCCCAGTATAATACACGAGTATCACCATTGTAAAGAGCTCCACCGTGATCACTATGAGCTGGCTGTGGTACATTTAAATGTGGTGTCACTCTCCATGAAGTAGAAATGTGACCTGTCCAACCTGCATGTGCTGATACTGAGACTGGCCATCCAAGAGAATTTAAAAATTCCAAAAAGTTTGGCGAAACATTTGTTTCGTGAAGCTACAAATATGAGATTATTTATACGAAAATAAAAGTGATACATCACAATGCTATAGAAGCAACAAATTCTTACCACATTGGATAATATTTCTGTTGGAGTTTTTTGACCAGCTTTCACATAAAATATATAAACAGTATCACACGTTCTTGGGCTAATGTTATCCAAAGTTTCTAAATCTGAACAAAATCCTGGAATGGTTGGATCAATAGCACTAAGGCCACTGTTTCTAGATTCATCGTTTTGTTTAGATTCTATATTTAGAAAACCAAAATGACTTAAAAAAAGACGCGCAGTTTGAAATTCATGACAAATTTGAGGTGGTGCGCATTCCTCTGTTTTTTCTTCGGAAATTTGATCGTTTCCATCATATTTTGATTCAATATTCATTTGACGTTCTAATAACTGCGACAAAATTTGATGTTCGTTTCTTACTACATTGTTATCGTTCATGACTGCTTCAAGACTTGGTATGGATTCATCCCTGGCAAGAGAGTTTAATTATTTCAATAAAAATTAAAATATTTCTTGAATAATTCAAAAAAATATACACTAATATTTTGCCAAAATTTAACATACACTTTACAATGAGGAATACGATCAACATTATCGGGAAAGAATCTAGGCTTATAATCTGTTCGCGGTGCTGCTTCTGCCAATGGTAGTGGTCGGCCAGGGTTTGTATTTACACTTCTTATACTGGATCTGTGCCTTGGCAAATGTCGAAGTTGCATTGTCCACGCATGCCTACCAAATGGGCCACGTATTAATACAGTCACAGTAGGCTGTGGATCTTGATCATTCCCAAGAGGTTCTTCTAATAAAGCTAATATAGTAGCATTTTCGGCAACGAAATATCGAAATCTTTCAACTGCTGCTTGACGCGGCACGGACCCACCAGTCCAACTGTTACAATGTCGCAGAAGTGACACTTCATCCAATAAAGATGATAATGACTGCGCTCCACATGCACTTGGGAAATAACCAACCTATAAATAGAAAAATTTATTACAATAATTTCTTAAATGTATTTTAATTTTATAAATTACATCAACTTTGCTATACCTGTTCTAGGATGACTGTAAGAAGTGCATCAGCAGCATCTCTGACGCGCATAGATGCTGGCTTTAATTCTTTTTCATCTTTCATTTTAATTGGTTCTCCAGGTTTTCCTACACTTTTGGTTCCTGATACTCCGAGCTCAACTACTTCTAAAACTGTTGTCAGACAATCCTTATCCTGCACAAACAATTGCGTATATTTATTTACCATAAAAAATACTTCATAATAATTGAATAAGAATAAAATACTAACTTGCAATAACTGTGGATGAGCTGTTAACCAAGTTGTCAAACAACTAAAAGCAGCAACAATAGAAGAGTGAAGATCTTTTGAATGAGCTGGCGGGGGACGCCAACATTGATATGCGATGTAATCACAGAGCCACTTTACAGCACGTTTACATTCCAAAGCATCTGTGAAATTTATGAAAACTTTCTGTTACAGTTAAACTACAAAATTATAGTTTATGAAACAGAATACAATTTAACCTGTAAGTTTCCTTGCTGCATGTAGAGTGTTAAAAATTGTATAACTTAATATGCTTCAGAAATGAAAAAACAGTGTATTTTGACCAGTGGCGCATTATACTTTCATAGGTCCAAGACAAAATAGAATGAAGGAACCAGATCTAAAGAAAAAAAAAAATAATAAATAGTTTTATGTTCAATTTCATTTTATTGTGACACGAACCAACAAATTACATAACATAAGAGAAACATTTAACCCTATAGGATAATACGCCACTGATTCTGATGAATGTTACACTTTACCTGTTTCACGAATGCGTGTTCTTGCTAATCCAGATAATATTTCAAGAGCTGCCAAAGAAATATTTAAATCTGTTTTCCATGATGATATTAATCTGTGGCAAACTAAGTACGTTGCTCGCACGAAAAGAGCGTGAGCTGAATCTGTAACATTACCCCATATCTATAATCATTAAAATCATACGTATTGAACGAATTTTTAAGACACAAGTTT